AATAAAAAAAAAAATAAATAAAAGGATCAATGTGACAGTTAACTGATTGTGCCAATTTGAGTAAGAAACACCCAACTAAACTGGCTCAGCATGGTTCTGGATATGGAAGGCCACCCTAGGGATGACTGTCTCCAGAGTGATGTCGAAGGGAAAGGAAGAAGGAACGCCACTTCTGTTTCTCTGGAGGTGCTCCTGTCTTCACCTTCACCCTGGATGTCACCTCCAGGCTCCCAGTGAAGTCGCTCAGCCTTCCGGTGCAGACCTTTCGGCCTCCTGATATGGACTTGCACTGGACACCGCACTGAGCTCCAGGCCTTCGACAGGACCCCGTGGACCCCCAGGGCACAGACAGCCCTTCTGCACTCTTCCACACCTGTCCCGTGGGCGGCCACTGTAAGCCACTCTTGGAAATTCTTGTAGATGTGCCTATCTTGCCTTACATCTGTTTCTCTAGTTAGCACTGAGTGATAGGCTGGGGCTGTAGCTCAGTGTGAAGGCCCTGGGTTCAGTCCCCAGTGTGCACGCACACACACAGAGTCGGGATTTCAGCCCTACCATTTCTGTAGCTGTCAGTCAAGCAGCTGCTTCTCTGGAAATCTTCCCAACCTGTCACCATGACAGCTGTGGCTGTCCTAAATGCCCAGCAGTCTCCAGGAGACATCTTCCTGGGCCACAGCAGGCTTGAGAGGCAGACACATCCCAAATAGCCGCCCTGCAGTCACTCCTGATGGCCCTCCCTGCCCTGCCCTTCCTCATCATTACTGCAGGGCTGGCAAGCAGGTCTACAAAAAAGTACAGAACTGTGCATGTCAGGCTGCTGGTGCTCTGGAGAAGCAGCGCTCCCTCCACTGTACCCCAGCCTTGCTCCAAAGGTCCCCTAAATCTACCTGGGAATTTTTCTCAGGTAGTATGGCCAGAGCAGGTCACACTGAAGGGAGGTGATAGCAATTAAGGATGCCATCCCTGAGGAGTTTCAGACAGCACTGGCGGGAACCGCAGAAATTGGTGGTAACTGACAGCAAAGACTGGCAGTGGTGACCAGCATCAGCCAGTGGCTACTGACTGAGACCTACCTCGCCCCGCAGAGAGGCCTAGAGAGGCAGCAGAAGTCGCTGAAAGAGCTCCAGAAAGCTGACAAAGCGGGTAAGGCTCTAAGCTGTTGAGAAGTGGACAGGGGTGGCGGGGAGCTGTGGAGAGACGTTCCCCGGAAGCCCAGCCACTAAAGGAGCGGCACTTCACTGATTTGTGATTTCCACCAGAATTGACTCAAAAAGCCCCAGATGATTCAAAGCAGTGTTATATTTTCATTTTCTCTTGTTTTGTTTTGTTTTTTTGAGACAGGGTCTCACTATGCAGTTCAGGCTGTTCTTTTTTTTTTTTTTTTTGTGGTACTGGGAATCGAACTCAGGACCATGTGCTTGCCAGGCAGGCGCTTATGCCACTGAACTGTATCCCCAGCCCCTTCAGGGTGGCCTTGAGCTCACTTTGTAACCCAGGCTGGTCTTGAACTCACAACGATCGTCCTGCCTCAGGCTCCCGAGTGCTGGGATTACAGGCATGCATCACCACACCTGGCTATATTTTAATTTTTTTAAAAAATTATTTTTACTCTTATTTTTTTGAGTCAGGATTGGGTCTCACGGTGTAGTTCAGGCTGGTTTTGAACTCACTTATGTAGCCCAGTATGGCCTTGAACTTGCAGTGATCCTCGTACCTCAACCTCCTGAGTGCTGGGGTTACAGGCGTGCGCCAGCATGCCCAGCTTCATTCTTTTTGCTGTGCCAGGGATCACACCCAGGGATGCACGCTAGGCAAGGGCACTATTGCTGAGCTGTGCCGACAGCCCAGCCTTTGAGTTTTATTTATTTGGCACTGGTGGGGATTGAATCCAGGGCCTTTTGCACACTAATCAAGCACTCTACTACTGAGCTACACCCCTCCGCTTTACCTTTTCCGTTTTTTTTTTTTTTTTAAGAGGAAAAAGCCTTTATTTAAAAGCTAGCCTCGAGCCGGGCGTGGTGGTGCACGCCTGTAATCCTAGCACTCAGGAGGCTGAGGCAGGAGAATCATTGCGAGTTTGAGACCAGCATGGGCTACAAAGTGAGCTCAAGGCCAGCCTGAACTGCATAGCGAGACCCTGTCTCAAAATGACAAAAAAAAAAAAAAAAAAACTAGCCCCAAAGAGATGGAGGGGCCTAACATTGCTACAGAGCACCATCTCCTTGCCTTTGTTTTTATTAAAAATATTTTTGCTGAGTATATAACTTTAGGTTGACATTTGTTGTTTCCACATTTTGAAGATGTTACTCCTTCTAGGTATGTGGCACACGCCTGCAGTTCCAGCACTCAGGAGGCTGAGGGAGGTGGATCGCCATGAGTCCCAAGCCAGCCTGGGCTACACGTGAATTCAAGGCCAGCCTGAACTATATAGCTAAGACCCTGTTGCATAGAAAGCAAAACAAAATAACAAAAAAAAGAGTCTAATAAAACAGAGATGTTACTGCTAGCTGGGAGACTGAGGCAGGAATATTGCAGTTTGAGCCCAGCATAGGCAATTTAGTAATTTATAGAGACTCTATCTCAAAATTTTAAAAAATTTTAAAAAGGGCTAGAGATTTAGCTCAGTGCAGAGGCCCTGGGTTCAATCCTCAGTACTGTAAAAATATTGTACACTCTTATATTTAATGTAGAATTTAACACTTTATGATGTGTTCAATTCCAAGGCACTAAGTACATCCACTGAGTCATCTAATCATCAGCACTATTTCCAGAACCTTTTGTCACCCCATATATAAACTCTGCAGCTGTCAGCAACGCACTATTTCAGCAAACAAACAAAACCCCAATACTCTGTCTCCTCTTATTCGCAGACAATGGCAGATTCCTTTCTACTGCCTATGAATTTACCTGTTTTAGATACCTTACATAAGTGGAATCAATTAAAGGTTATTTGTCCTCTTATATCCGATTTATTTCACTTGTCACAGTGTTCTCAGATTCATCTCTGCTATTGTAGCCAGTGTTGGAATTTCATTCATTTGTGGTAGCGTGTTGGCACAAGAACTTAGGTTCAAGGCTGGGGATTTATTTAGCTCAGCGGCATAGTGCCTGCCCAGCAAGCGCAAGGTCGTGAGTTCGGTTCCCGGTACTGGAAAAAAGAACAAAAACAAAAAAACTTCTTTTCAATGCCCAGTACCAAAAATCAGAGTAAGACTTGGTATGATAGTGCATACCTGTAATCCCAGCACTCTGGACTTCAAGGCCAGCTTGGGATATATAGGGAGTTCAAGGTCAGCCTAAAATACACACCAAGACCTTGTCTCAAAAAAACAAAACTAAACTTTATTTATTTATTTATTTCTTACCATGTAGTCCAGGCTGGCTTCGAATTTATAGCAATCCTCCTGCCTCTGCCTCCAGAGCACTGAGATTACAGGGTTGCACCACAAAACCCAGCAGTCTTTTCTTTTTTTTTTTTTTTTTTTTTTT